CCGATCTACATCAAGACTCACCAGCAGCCAGCAGACTTCCTCACCAAGAGGCTTGCGGATGAGTCTCATTGGCGTTGTGTGCGCATGAGTGGAATGAGCATGAACTAGTATGGAATGATGGGGATGCAGCCGGCAGGCTGAGGGGGAGTGTGTTGGGTGCAAATTCACATTGCACGACATCCTGCCGTCTGTTTGTACGAGTATGCGTGTGCGAATGCATTTGCGTGTGAATGGTATGTTTGTGTGTTTGTTTGCTTTCGCAATTTTCGCTTGAAGCATTTGCAGGTACTCGCACAATGTGCGCTTCGGCATAACATTGTACGCGCTATGAACAGTACAAGCAGAAAGGACGAGCTCGCAAAGGAACCCAAGATGGAAGCTTTGCGGTTCAACTTACTTGATTGCGCAGATTCAGTTCTATCCAACTCGAAATTGTACTGTTTTGTTTGGTTGACTATAGTGTAGCAGGGCAGGCACTATAGGGGTACAATTTAGGTGAAGGTTGGATGTTGTTTGTCTGTATCTGCATGCTACAGGGCCAGGGGAAACCAGCGGAACCAGCATTTGGCTGGTTGGGCAAAGACAAAACAGGTTCTGTTTTTAGGACCTGAACCTGGTTGTTGTTTCCCCAGGTTGGAAAAACAGAACCAGAGGTTGTTCACCAACCTATCACCTGCTATTTTGTCCAGCCAGGTTGGTTCTGTTGCTTGGAATTATTTGGGATCATCCCTGGTTGTTCCCAGGTTGATTCCCAAGGTCCTTGCTAGCTAGAGCTATTTATTCCTTCTCTGTTTGTACCTGAATATAGTGAAATTGATTCAAGCGAATTCCTTCCTTTCTGGAATTTCTTTTCTACGTGGTGCGACGGCGGAATGCTACCCGAGTCAACGCTAGTACGCTAGCACTCCAACGCTAGGCTAACGCTGTCCGAGCCATAACTTCGTAATGGCAGAACTTTTCGCGAGGCAACTTGGCTTATTTTAAAGCTCTTAGAGTGAGCTTCGATATAGGAAATTCTCAGCTTAATCCGATCGACGGTCTGCACGATACGCTGCGCGACGTTCAAGGTACTCTTGCTGTTTTGACTAAGTCCCTCTTGATCCCTCTCTCTACAAACTCGGACCCGAGGATAGGGGCTGGTCTTGTACCAGGCACCCAAGGACCCTTGGAGGTGACCCCGAGGAGAGGTTTTAAGTGTGATAAAGTCTTAATAGCTTGAGTTTATTAGGCCCTTACACCAACAAATATGCGGCGCACGGTACAGCTACCTCGACCATCAACCGTGCCTACTCTCTTCGACCCCACTCCACACGAATATACGGAAGAAGACAAGGAACGCCTGTCACGCAAAATGGTGGGAGCAACGGTGGACAAGGCGTTCACCACCACTCCGTTTGACGGCTCCAATTTCCGGGAGTGGGCACTACGGTTTCGTATAAACGCTCGCGTCACGAATCTGTGGGAGTTCTTTGTGACCCTGCAGTATCCGGTTACCATGGGAGATGGTGACATTAACGACGCTATGGAGCGGCTAGAAATGCTACAGGCGGATTACTCATAGCGTGCGGCGCTCGCTTTTTGGGTCCTACTGCACAGCGTGAGCGCTACGATTCAGCTGCAGCTGGATATGTTTCAGGAATCCTACAGTCCGGCTTATGAAGCATGGGAGTATTTAATGGACACTTACCAGGCCAAAGATTCGGTGGCGAAGGTCTCTGTTTTGAAACAGTTGGACAACCTAAAAATGGGGAGTCAAGAGAGGGTGAAGGAGTACGTGAACCGCGCAACGGCAATCCGGGACAAGTTAGCACTCGCGAGGAAGATGGTGGATGAGGACACATTCAGCTTAAATCTGCTCACCGGACTACCGGCGCATTGGGAGGAAATGAGGCAATTGGCAATGCTACACAACGTGACAGATAGCTTCACCTTGCAGCGGATGATGATTCAAGAGCAGAGGTATCACGACCTCATTACGAAGGATAACTTTGACCGGCGTCCACCTCGCATGGTTGGACAAGCACGTAGAGATCGCTCACCTTCTCCAACTACTAAAGGCAGCACCGAGTACAAGGAAGAGTTCGCTGGGGAGAAAATGCAAGGCAAGGAAGGAAGTGCGGTTCGCTCACCTCTTGTGTGTTGGTACTGCAAGGAGGTCGGCCACCTCTTCTTCAAGTGTACGAAGGCACCCCCTGGCTGGACACCGACAGGGTGGGAACCGCATACCCGCAGAAAGGCAAAACCGCACACCAGCGACAGCCGTTTGTTCTTCCCACGAAGGAGTGGCAGCCCCAAGCGTGACAGCGATGTGTCAAAACAACAAGGGGCAGCCGGGGAAGACAAGCAACGCACTGTTACATGCATTGCAATGGTGGGATCGTCACAAGCTACCTTACCACCAGCTAAAGCGTCATCGTGGTTGCTGGACAGTGGATGGAGCCAGCACATGACCTCGGACAAGCGTTGGTTTGAAGAGTTGAAGGAGCTGGACGAATCTGTATACGTGGAGCTTGTTGATGGGAGCCGATTGCACAGCACGATGACGGGAACGATCGGAGCAACGGCACCTGATGGGACAACAGTTCGGTACACTGACGTCCTCCACGTACCTGGCTTGAAGAGTAACCTGCTCTCCTATTGTCAGCTACTGAAAAAAGGGAGCGCGCATCAATACCATTACTAATGGAGACACCGAGATCACCATGACTGATGGAGAGGAGTACGTGTGGATTGGACTTGCCAAGAACGTGGATGGAGTGCTCGTGGTGTAGTATGCGCATGCACTTACATCCGCCCATGCTCCTGGACATTCCCGTGATGATGTGTCATCGAATCAGGTTGATCGTGAAGGGGTTACCCTTTTCCGCACACCTGGTGTGCACATGGACGCACCTGGGAGCACGGATCCCCGCACACCTGGAGTGCACTTGAGTGGCCAGTCTGCACATGCGTCTGTCACATACCGCATGGCACACAAAGCATGCGCTGTGCGGAAGCTGGCACATAATGATACCACGCATGAAGTCTCACCCCACGTTGCGGTGTGGAATTCAGGGGGAGAAGGAAAAATGTCCGCGGTGGATTCGGGAGGCGATAGAGCGGACCTTGTAGAACAGGACTCACCTGCAGCTGATGAAGTCAGTGCGGCCGAAGGAAGCGGAGGCACAGCTGATGACTTACCTGCAGCAGGTGTCTCCATTTTGAAAAGCGTGGAAAATGTTGATGTGGGAAATGAGGTGGACAAGCCAAGCAAGTAGCATCTCACCTGCAATCTGCTGGCTGGTCAAGGCAATCAAGTCAAGGATTCTGGTGTTGTACTCACCTGTGCGGCCACCTCGATCTGTGTTGCACAACAGAGCATCCCCTAACTCCACACTCACTCATGTGCTTGTAGCTGTGTACGCGGTTATGTGCATGACTACAAGCACATGGGTGGGGGGGGGTGGGGTGTGAAGTGTATCTGGTGGCACTGGAGTGGGATATGGAGTCAAGGAGCATAAGGGGAAGACCTACTCACCAAAGGTTGCCAATAGGCAGGGGGAGTAGGCAGAAAGGATGCAGCCGGTCGGCGTCATCCGTCGTGATGCAGTGGTATCGTGCGACTGGTTGCTGCAGATGAACGGCACCATCTGGAGGAAGGATGGAGATCATACATGGAGCACGCATTACTGCATACCTGGTGTGCACGTTTCTCCATACTTGGTATGCAGATCTCGGCATACTTGATGAGCACTGCATACATGGAGTGGACATTTCTGCATATATGGAGTGCAGATTTCTGGGATACTTGGAGTTCGTCGGCATGCGCAACCCTCCAGCTGATGGAGTTCGGCAACTCCGGCTGCTACCATGTGTCTGCTGGAGTGTATGGGAAGCATCACAGGGCAACATGGGTGAAGTTTGAGCAAACTTGGCAAGATTGCCAAAGCATGGAGAGAAAGGCTTACGAAGATGCAGCAAGCGCGGACAGGCAAATGATGCAGTAGGCGCGCAGCAGATCGTCAGCCGCTGACGAACGCAAGGTCGTCGCTTCTATCGCGCGAAGTGTGCGCCCGCCAATGCAGTTCCGTGCCAGCCGTACGTCATGCATTATCCGCTACCGATTCGCGTCATCCGCAACCGCGATCGTCGCAAACGCGCGTCAAGTGTAGTCGTCGCGTCATCGTGCAGCACGCGTGCGATAAAGCCTACAGTTTCGGAAATTCGGCGTGCGCTAAAGGCATTCTGCCATGACGATACACGCATTGTGGCATGGTTTTATGGAGATTTCGTCATGGAGCTGCTACGGTTTCGTCAACAGCAGCCACTACTTTCTAGATCTCGATCTAGAATGTCGAGATTGGAAGGAGGGATTGGAAAACGTGAAGAAATGTGGTTTGGTTGGAGTTTGGAAGGCCCAAAGGTTGGGAGGGGAAAAGTGCTACAGTGACAAGCAGCTTGGCCAACACCAAACCCTAGCTTGGTTTGGACACACCCCTACCTTGTGGTGGTACACCACCTCGACCACCCTATCGTCCAATGAAAACGGATTCACTAAAACCTACAGCAAGGGGGAGTGTTGGAAATCTGAATACAGTATAACGAATACTGTATACCAGTGTGCTGTTTGGTTTTAGTGTAGTCCTCATTATAAGCCTCCAGGTCCTACAATAATTGTTACAATTATTGTAAGGCCACAATTATTGGAGCCCAACATTATTGGAGGGTAGAGGGTACAATTATTGGTACAACATTATTAGTGTGAATGGGTCATTTTGGAGGGGTAGCTGGATGCATATATACCCTACTGTGTCACATCATTTAGTCATCATTGTGTTATCATTCTACTTTTCAATGATCAATGCAAGATTTCTATCTTGTTGTTTCTACAAACACGTTTCCGCTACGCTGGCACTATGCCTTTCTAGCAAACTCCTTGCCTGCACAGTACTGGCTGCCAGGCAGAGCGTCTCCCAATCCCTCCGTACATGCAGGGGCGGTGGAACAGAGAGGGCAGGGCCTCATAGGGCGCAGGTCAGCAGAGAGTATGGGGCAGCAGGGGTGGCTAAAGGCAGTCTGCACCAATCTGCACTCCCCCGGCCCACCGCGAGGACAAGGGGGATCAAAGGGGGAGGGAATGGGGAGAGAGTAGAGGGAATGGTGTGCAGGCGGTAAGGTGTGCAAGCGGTAAGGTGTGCATAGGGTAAGGTGTGCAGGTGGTAAGGTGTGCAAGGGGTAAGGTGTGCAGGGGGTAAGGTGTGCTGGGGGGAAGGTGTGCAGTGGGTAAGGTGTGCAGGGGGTAAGGTGTGCAGGCGGTAAGGTGTGCATGCGGTTAGGTGTGCAGGCGGTAAGGTGTGCAGGCGGTAAGGTGTGCAGCGGGTAAGGTGTGCAGACGGTAACGTGTGCAGGCGGTAAGGTGTGCAGGGGGTAAGGTGTGCGAGGATGAAGGAAGCAGAACAGAGGGTGGGGAGACACAAGGAAAAGGGATACAGGTAAAAGGGACAGGGAAACTGGTAACACGAAGACAGGGAAGGGGATGGCGGGAAGCAGGGAACGGGATGGGGGGAAGCAGGGAAGGGGATGGGGGGAAGCAATGAAGGGGATGGGGGGAAGCAGGGAAGGGGATGGGGGGAAGCAGGGAAGGGGATGGGGGGAAGCAGGGAAGGGGATGGGGCTAGGGGGAAGCAGTGAAGGGGATGGGGGGAAGCAAGGAAGGGGATGGGGCGAAGCAGGGAAGGGGATGGGGGGAAGCAGGGACGGGGATGGGGGGAAGCAGGGAAGGGGATGGGGGGAAGCAGGGAAGGGGATAAGGGGAAGCAGAGAATTGGATGGGGGGAAGCACGGAAGGGGATGGGGCGAAACAGGGAAGGGGATGGGGGGAAGCAGGGAAGGGGATGGGGGGAAGCAGGGAAGGGGATGGAGGGAAGCAGAGAAGGGGATAGGGGGAAGCAGGGAAGGGGATGGGAGGAAGCAGTGAAGGGGATGGGGGGAAGCAGGGAAGGGGATGGGGGGAAGCAGGGAAGGGGATGGGGGGAAGCAAGGAAGGGGATGGGGCTTGGGGGAAGCAGCGAAGGGGATGGGGGAAGCAAGGAAGGGGATAGGGCGAAGCAGGGAAGGGGATGGGGGGAAGCAGGGAAGGGGATGGGGCTAGGGGGGGAGCAGTGAAGGGGATGGGGGGAAGCAAGGAAGGGGATGGGGCGAAGCAGGGAAGGGGATGGGGGGAAGCAGGGAAGGGGATGGGGGGAAGTAGGGAAGGGGATGGGGGGAAGCAGGGAAGGGGATGGGGGGGAAGCAGGGAAGGGGATGGGGGAAAGCAGAGAATTGGATGATAGAATTCAAAAATCATCTTTGTAATGAGCCAAGGAGGCTCTATAGTACAAGCATGCAAGGAAGAGAGGAGTGGAGGAGGAACTACCCTTATTGGTCACTAAGTTGGCCAATGGGTGAGGTGCCTTGTGGAGTAGGAAACCCCACAATGTAGCTAGGCTGTGATTGGTTGGTGTTAGGACCAAAAGTTGGCAAGTGCCAACCAAGGACCAAGACCAAATCCAATCTTGACCAACCACTAAGTGTGGTTGGAGTGTACACCCAACCCCCCCAAGAACATAAGAGACTACACCTCTTCTAGCCTATGAATGTTGCATAAATATACATTTACAACACAACCCCCCAACATGCGTAAGGCTAGAAGATGTAATTAGGAGGCCGTCGAAACCGGAGGAGGGGTGAGGCCAAGGAGACGCAGAAGGAAGGAGTGGGATGCTTGGGGAAGGGCTTTGGTGAAGATGTCAGCGAGGTTGGCCGCCGAGTCGATTTTGCCAAGGCGAATGTGGCCGGCCTCAATGAGATCGCGAATGAAGAAATAGCGAAGCTCAATGTGTTTGGAGCGCCCATGATACACAGCATCCTTGGTGAGGTGGATGGTGCTGGCGTTGTCACACCAGATGGTGGGACAGCGTTGGGGGGCTCCAAGCTCATCAAGGAGGAAGGTGAGCCAACGCGCTTCTTGTGCGGCCATGGTTGCAGCGTAGAGCTTTGCTTCGCAGGAGGAGAGGGCGACGGCAGAGGAGCGTGTGGACCGCCAGCTGATAAAACCGCTGCCCAGAGAGAAACCATAACCCTGAGAGGTTCGCCGATCCGGTCGAGAATCAGCCCAGGAAGAGTCGCTGTAGCCGCTGAGGAGGGGTGGGGAAGGGCTGCCGTATGCTTGCTAGCGCCAACGAACCGAGCTAGGACGCTGATGGGGTAGGCAAGGTCAGGGCGAGTGGAAACCATGGCGTACATGAGAGAGCCGATGAGTTCAAGATAAGGATGGGAGGAGGGAGAGGGGGAGGAGGGTGGGGAGAGGTGGTGCCCTGTTGGTGTAAGGGCCTAATAAACTCAAGCTATTAAGACTTTATCACACTTAAAACCTCTCCTCGGGGTCACCTCCAAGGGTCCTTGGGTGCCTGGTACAAGACCAGCCCCTATCCTCGGGTCCGAGTTTGTAGAGAGAGGGATCAAGAGGGACTTAGTCAAAACAGCAAGAGTACCTTGAACGTCGCGCAGCGTATCGTGCAGACCGTCGATCGGATTAAGCTGAGAATTTCCTATATCGAAGCTCACTCTAAGAGCTTTAAAATAAGCCAAGTTGCCTCGCGAAAAGTTCTGCCATTACGAAGTTATGGCTCGGACAGCGTTAGCCTAGCGTTGGAGTGCTAGCGTACTAGCGTTGACTCGGGTAGCATTCCGCCGTCGCACCGCGTAGAAAAGAAATTCCAGCAAGGAAGGAATTCGCTTGAATCAATTTCACTATATTCAGGTACAAACAGAGAAGGAATAAATAGCTCTAGCTAGCAAGGACCTTGGGAATCAACCTGGGAACAACCAGGGATGATCCCAAATAATTCCAAGCAACAGAACCAACCTGGCTGGACAAAATAGCAGGTGATAGGTTGGTGAACAACCTCTGGTTCTGTTTTTCCAACCTGGGAAAACAACAACCAGGTTCAGGTCCTAAAAACAGAACCTGTTTTGTCTTTGCCCAACCAGCCAAATGCTGGTTCCGCTGGTTTCCCCTGGCCCTGTAGCATGCAGATACAGACAAACAACATCCAACCTTCACCTAAATTGTACCCCTATAGTGCCTGCCCTGCTACACTATAGTCAACCAAACAAAACAGTACAATTTCGAGTTGGATAGAACTGAATCTGCGCAATCAAGTAAGTTGAACCGCAAAGCTTCCATCTTGGGTTCCTTTGCGAGCTCGTCCTTTCTGCTTCTACTGTTCATAGCGCGTACAATGTTATGCCGAAGCGCACATTTTGCGAGTACCTGCAAATGCTTCAAGCGAAAATTGCGAAAGCAAACAAACACACAAACATACCATTCACACGCAAATGCATTCGCACACGCATACTCGTACAAACAGACGGCAGGATGTCGTGCAATGTGAATTTGCACCCAACACACTCCCCCTCAGCCTGCCGGCTGCATCCCCATCATTCCATACTAGTTCATGCTCATTCCACTCATGCGCACACAACGCCAATGAGACTCATCCGCAAGCCTCTTGGTGAGGAAGTCTGCTGGCTGCTGGTGAGTCTTGATGTAGATCGGATTCACCGTCCCCCTCTTCACCTCCTTACGCAGCCAGTGCCACTTGATACGCATGTGCTTAGTTCAGCCCATGAAGCACAGCGTTCCTGGCCATCCCAAGAGCTCCCTTGCTATCACAAAACAGCGGCGTAGCAACCTTTTGCTCCTGGCCAATCTCCTCCAACAGCCTCCTCAGCCAAATCACCTCCTTCACCCCATGGAACATCGCCATGTACTCTGATTCCACGGAAGAGAGTGCTGTCTCCGTCTGCTTCTTTGACCTCCAACTAACCGGTCCTCCCCCAACTACGCAGATGTATCCTCCCACAGATGAGGAATCCTCCTTCTCAGAGGCCCACGTAGCATCAGTAAAGCAAGTAAGAAAAAGCTTGCCTTCTCCAAGCCTCTCCCCCTTCTCTTTCAGCACCTCAACCCCTTTCTGCTTCACCTGTGCAGATGCGGAGTATTGAACTCCAATGCTTGGGTGAGAGTTCAGATACTTCACCACACGCTCAGCTGCATCCACCTGCTCCTCTGATGGATTCTGCACTACCCTAGCCAGCTGCCCAACCGAGAAAGAGATGTCGGGTCTCGTGTGAACTGCTGCATACAAGAGGCTGCCCACCAAGGACTGAAATTGCTGCTGCTCCTCGGCTTCAACCCCTTCATCCTCTGCAGCTTTCACAAGCTTGAATTCTGCTGGCAGGGGAGTTGCAACCTTGCGCTCATTCTCAATTCCGTACTTCTCCCCAAGCTCCTTGATGAACTTCTCCTGGTGCAGCTTCAACCACCTGTGATCCAGATCCCTCTCCACGTGCATCCCGAGGTAGTACTTTACCTCCCCAAGGTTCTTGCACTTGAAGTTCTCCATCAGCTGCTGCTGCACCTTCTGGATCTCCTTCATGCTGCTGCTAAAGAGAAGAATGTCGTCCACATAGACCAGAAACAGCACCAGCTTCTCCCCCTCCCCCTTGAGAAAGAGGCTCTCATCACAGCTGCTGGTCCTGAATCCCATCTCCTCTAAAACAGCTGCCAACTTCTGGTACCAGCAGCGTGGCGCCTGCTTCAAGCCATAGATGGACTTTTTCAGCTTGCACACCCTGCCCGTACCATCCTCATACCCAGGTGGCTGCGTCATGAACACCTCCTCCTCTAAAATCCCGTTGAGAAATGCCGTTGATATGTCCATCTGGATAATGAACTTCCCACTAACGGCTGCATCTGCCAACAAGACACGAAGGGTAGGGGGTTTGGCAGTGGGAGCAAAGATCTCATTGAAGTCCCGCTTCTCCTTCTGCATAAACCCCTTAGCCACCAACCTACTCTTGTAGATGGTGACCTGCCCCTTGTCGTCAGTCTTGATCCTTAGCACCCACTTGCATTGTACCGCTTTCTTTCCCTCAGGCAGCACCACTAGTTCCCAAGTCCCATTCTCCAGCAGGCTCTGGTATTCAGCATCCCTGGAAGCTAGCCATTTGTCCCTATCTGGTCCAGCTAATGCCTCCTCCATGCTAGCTGGTTCCTCTGGTGCAGGGGCAAGAAAACAGTACGCAGGTTGATCCTCCTCATCCGGGTCATAGCCATGCGGTAGAATCAGCAATGCCTCCTCGGTCCCAAGCTGCTGCTCCGCTACATCAACTCCTGCAGTCAGCTTCTTAGTAGCCATACGGGTACGTCCTGGCCTGGAGACGGGTGTCTCCCATCCCTTCATAATAACACCCTTCGGCTTCTTAGTTTTCCCCTGCTGCTGCTCTCCTCCCTCGGATCCAGCAGCTCCACTAGTGCTACCGCTAATCTCCACACCATCACCTCCACCAGCAGGTGCCTCCTGCACCTTCTCTTTATCACCACCCTCTGCAGCTGCCTCCTCTCCCTCCTCCCACACACTAGGAGTCAGGTCCAGCTGCATGGTAATCTGCTCCATCTGCTGGGACACCCTGGCCTCCGGCTGTTTCTCCCAGCTCCCATACATCATGCCCTCAACAAACTTCACATCCCTGCTGTCAAACAACACACCCTTGGAAGGCTCCCACAGCAGCCATCCCTTGCTTTCAGCAGCCAGCCCCAAATGCACACACCAGATTGCACTTGCCCCCAACTTACTGCGGTAGGTCTTGGGGACGTGGGCGACTGCCATGCAACCGAACACCCTCAGCATGTCCACCGGCGGCTTCCTCCCAAGCCACCTCTCCAACGGCACCCACGAGTCATCCCCAACCTTTGTGAGTACCCTGTTCCTAGCGACGGTAGCGTGCCGAACAGCATGGGGCCACATCAAGTTGCCCAGCCCAGATTCTATGAGCAGCGCCCTAGCTGTCTCCAGAATTGTCCGGTTCGCCCGTTCTGCTACACCGTTGGACTGTGGGGTGTAAGCCGTGGTCAGCTCCCTCTGGATGCCCTGCTTTTTGAGCCAGGCCGTCATCTCAGCTCCAAGGAACTCACCACCCCGATCTGTCCTAATCCGCTTCACCACACACTCCGCTTGCTTCTCCACGAACGGCAGCCAATCGTCCCGAATCGTGGAGGCGGCGTGATCTTTCTGCTTCAGCGGATACGCCCACATTAGCCTGCTCCAGTCATCCACTATGGTTAAGAAGTACCGCTCCCCCTTGTGCCCTTGCACCGGCAGCGGCCCCACCAAGTCCATGTGGACCAGCTCCAACGGCTTCTTGCTCCTGCCAGCCACACTATGGAAGGGGAAACGGGTAAACTTTGAAGAGCAAACAGATTTCACAGTTATCATCGGGTGGTTGTCCGTTCAGCTTCAAGCCCTTAACGGCTCCATCCTTCTCCAGCTGCTTCAGCAAAGGCATTGCCACATGCCCCAAACGTCGGTGTGCAGTTGCCCAATCTGTCTCCCCAGATCTGGCCGACACTTTCACACCAACCCCTCCAACGGCGTTGCACTCCCCCTGGGATGCAGACCCCTCTCTAGCCTGCCCCCCACCGTGCCACGCCAGCGCCGGCAGCTGCCACATAGATCTGTACACGTCCTTGCTCTCGTGCAGATCCCAAAGCACCCGATTGCC